GTGCTTGAAATCGTGCAGCAGGACGATTGTCGCCGGCAGAACCTTGGCAAACCGCTTGACTGCCTCTCCTCTAGAGAGCCATCGCACGTCGTGGATCCCCTGCAGCTCCAGGTTGGTTTCGCAGATGTACTCCTGAAGGTGCTCGAATCGCCGGTGCCAGTTGCTCGACCTAGAAAGCTGCTCCGCCACGTTGCGCACCGCCTGGTCTATAATGTTGAACTCCGTCACCTTCTCAGCGGCATCCTTCGCGGCCAACGCCTCCCTGCTCAAGGTAGAACGGAGGAAACGAGCGATTGAAGTGAGTGGGCAGTACATGATCAACACACACCTGCCATAAAGCCAGTAACAATGACGGACTTACCGATGTGCGATGCAGTGGCACGACACGAGATAGGGATTCCGCTGCCGGAGTCGTGCCACAACACCATTGCTGGTGCCCGTCATTACTCTGGCGCCGTCGGTGCTGATTCCAACAATCTTGGACAAGTCCATGCCCACGGCGTCAAGGTGGGTCAGTAGCACGTCGACTAGACTTGCCGCGTCACACTTGTCAACTGTCAGCAACGTGAGGAACTCGCAGACGCTCGCTCCCTCCTTCATGAAGTGGACGTAGACGATCATGTGCTTGCCGCGCGCCTTGTCAGTACTCTCATCGAGCTGAATGGAGATGTACGGGCTCGCCTCGATCTGCTTCAGTTGCTCTTGCCGCATGTACTTCGCTGCAGCTTCTAGCAGCTCCCCGAAACCGTACCTGTATGATACAAGCACAGAGGTTAGCACGTGATCAATCAAGACAGTTGTAACGGAACCAGTACAACGACACCAAGTACCCCGAAACTTACTCCGAAAAGTAGTTTCCCTTGGAATCCAAGGGAAGGTTCGGGACTCCGAGCTCGGCCATGAACTTGATGGTGCCCACGTAGGAGGTGATTGGCGCCTCCGACTTGCAGATGTACACGGTAGTCTTGAGAGCAGTGATGATGTGAAGAGTGCTGCGATCCAACCCCTCGAACTCGCTCAGCAGCGTTTGACGAAGCTTCCGGCTCTCCTTCGACTTCATCTCGGCGTGTGCGTCCTGGTGTGCGGTGGAGCGCTGGTGCGTCCGGATGCTCCCCTTCTGCATGTCACGCCCTCCACTGCCTCCCTTGCCATAAGCCGTTTTCGTGCCTTCAGCTCCATGTTCCAAGCACGTGCTGCATCTCAAAATGGGGAAGCCAACGTCATCACGAGTTAGAATTAGCCACGGAAACAAAGACTCCCATGAAGTCTTAAACCGCTTATGCGCTTTAGCGAAAGCGACCTCGGGGTAACGGGCCATCTCTTCGACAGTTGGCAGGCCGTCTTCTTCCTCCTCGTCATCACTTCCCTCGTCCTCCACTCGTCAGATTGGACGTGCCGCCCGCTTCACAGAGTGCTTCGGTTGTCGCCACCACTGCGTAGCACTGCCACCGCTTGACTCTTTGCGCTTCTTGTTCGCAAAGTCGCCAGCCGCATCGCCTATCTCCGTTTCAGGAGCCGTCGCTTCTGGAGGTGAGGGTTCCGCCGTGGTAGTGCAAACTTCAGGTGAGCGCAGGTCAGGCCCTGAATCATCTGCGCGGGTTTCGTCCTCGGTTGAAGCAACTACGGGCTCCGGATCTGACAGCTTCTTAGCGGGGGTTCGTAGAAAGCTGAGGCCCGTTCACGGGGGTGATTTTTGGAGTTCACGGCATGCCTCGGCGTCACCATCGGTGGTTTCGTCAGCAGCCATGGCGAGGGCCAGAGGGGTGGTTGCAGGAGCTGGGCCTACGCTAGCTGTTGGGAGAGCGTGGTGGTGGGGTGGTGTGCAAAGCAAACCCTAGACCAGACGAGATAGCGAGGAGGCAGAATTGAGAAATGAGACGAGGAGGACTGGGTTGGGTGCGTGGGAGAGACTGGTCGGTGGGTGGGGGCCTGCTGGGGAGGGAAGAAGAAGCTTCCATGCTGGACACACCTCCTGCACGAAGCAGGTGTGTGTGGCGCTGCGCGTCATTGCCAGCTAGGAAGATTGCAGGTGAGCCAGGTATAGTTGACGAGCCTGTGGCAGTGGCGACGCGAGCCGTCAAGGCGACGCGCACATCTGCTGACTCAAGCAAAACGCCGCTAATCACGGCCCAAATCTCGTCAATACCCCCCCCCCCCCGCCGCGTGAAATCGCATCAGGGTGGTACGCGACACTAGTCTTTGTCATCAGGGCGAGTACACCAGGCCTGTCTTAAAAATCAGTGTTAACAAAATGAACACTTTTTCGGCTAAGGGTGCCTCAGAAAACAAGTTTTAAAAACAAGGGTGATCACCTAAACCCACCCTTATAGTAAGGGCCATAAGGGTGTTTTACCCTGATATCGAGAGGCCTGCCTGCCACTCTATCTGGCAGTGCCGCTACTACAAACTGAAGATCAAATCCAGGATGCCTTGCTTTGCAAAAATGTTCCCAGAAGAAATTGTGCATGCAGGCACCATGTACACATGTACTCTGGGAATGATATGTTTCCTCCATCTGACAAGTATGCATTGTGTGCTGTGCACTATAACATCTGATATTGTAGAATTGGCTTGTTGCCAAAGTCGGGATTTCTGCTACTGTACCTCCTTTTTGAACAGGGTGCAGAGTGATAGACATCACATGATTCAGGGGGTTTCTTCGATCACAAAACTATTAGCAATGAAAAGAGCAGACAGAATCAACTTGCAAAGACGGTTGTTTACATATCATCACTGCACATGTCATTGCGAACACTGCAAAAATGCCAGCTGGTACAATGAGATGAAAACGAGGCATGCATGTTGCATGCATGGTACATGCATTGGCAGAGAATGAAAACGAGAAAGAACATGGACGTGAATCATGGCCTGCCTCGTTGTAACCCAGCACCACATCCAGGTGCTTTAGCATAGAAAGCTGTTCAACAAACTAACCCAACATAACATATCCAGCATTTTCAAGCCCTGCCTCTTGAGATCAGAAAGCTACTTGCCCGCCTCTAAATTCTGAATCAGAATCAAGCAATTGCTGCTGACGTATGAGATTTGAAACGTGCGCTGCATCTCATGAAGCACATGATGCATGCTGGCATGACGCATGAATGGAAATATGCTGTTTATTTGATAGCTTGATGAATTGAATGCTTAATGTCCTGGAATAATCACATACCGTACCATCTTGTTGGCCATACCAGGTCATCCCTAGCCATACCAGCTCAACCCTAACCAGATTCCAACATAATACGCGTGCACTAAATGCCTAATATGAATAAACTTCATAGCAAGCTGTTGACACCTGCGAGCATGCTTGATGAGTTGCATGCTGAGTGCCTTATAGCTCCATGAATTTTGGTCCATTCTAAATTCTTCATACCTGATAGCCTGATAGTTTGAATGCTGAATATAGCCTGTCATATGGACTAGCATGCCCCATGGCTATACAACATGGTAAATGCCTGCTCAATACTGCATGGTATCATACTTTGCAGCTAGCTGACCAATGGCATGATGTTGGGCATGTGTAACAGCATAATTATTTACACGCTGAATTCTGACACCAAGCGTGCTGACTGTTGCATGAAATAAAGAACTGCATGCCGAATGTATCATTGCACGGTGAGTTTCATCAGAAAACGACAAATTGCATGTCTCATGGCATGATGACTTGGGTGAATAACAGAACATGATACTTTGATGCTGAAAAGCTCACCACTTGATGTCTCATCGCGTCATGAATTGCATCTGACATGTTGCACGGCATCATAACCTGCATGTTGTAACGCATTATCATGAATTGCAGTATAAATGTATAAAGCGTCATCTGACATGGTGATACCACACCAAGTGTTTGCAGGATCATGATTTCCATGATGTCTGTGCATCACATGCTGAATTGGATGCCAAAAGTTGTACAGGATGGTGAAATTGCATGCTAGATTGCTCTCTTTGAAATCGCAAGATGGGGTTTTCTTGGCATTATGAATGCACCATGGCAATATGATGTGTCAGTCGATGAATGTCTGATGGCATTATACTAAACCTGCTGTTTGTTTTGTGGAAGGCTGAATTTCTTAAACCAGGGTCGATGTAGACGAGATGTATAAGAGCATGATAATATCCAGGCTGGATACCTTAGGACATCATGATTAGAGTGCTGAATTTGTCATGTCATTCATCAAAAAACATGCTAAAGCAATCATAGCATGTTATTGAGCACGCTGCTGGATGTCTCATGACAAATTGCATGCTGAGTGTCTTATGACATGATGAATTCTATGCCTTTCTCATAGCTTAAAAAACAAATGAATGCCGGATGTATTTGATCATTCACATTCTGCACCAAAGCATTACTTTGCATGCTGAATAGCTCTGACATGATGCCATTGGTGGCAAACCTCAGAATGCTTACTATGGAATTATTAGATCAGCAAGCATCCCAGAATGCACGCAATAGAAATCTTCTCCCACGACGACCTCACAGAATGCATATCCCATAACACACATATGAAAATGCATCTCTGAATGTCTTTCTCTGCACTGCACTCACAGAATGCATATGCATTTTTTTTCAGGATGCATATTATAATAGAACAATTCGGGAGGACATGGGTTGACATGGGGTGACATGCAATCTCTCATGCAGAATAAACATCCCTGGATGCATGTACTGCAATGCATGTCTCACAGTGCATACCTCATAACAAAAGGTTAAGGTTCATGACTTCCATATCTACGTTGGCAGATACGCGTCCCAGGGTATAATACGCTAGCGTATTATACGCTGGGTATATACGCGGTACACCAGGGCTGGCGTACTGGTGATACGCAAAAATACGCTGGGCGGGCAGGTAAAACTTTTTTCCCGGGCAGGGCTAAAAAAACCTGTTTCAGGGGGGGGGATTGTTTTCCAAGAACACAAGTCATAATTTAAATTTCATAAATATCCAGAAATACATATTTGGGGCTACTTCTCCCCATACATCCCCACCCCACCGCACCCTCTAGCTAGCTTCCCCACAACCGATTTCCTTGCGGGGCTTGTCCACCACCACACTTTCCCCATACTCATCCGCCAGCACTGCATCCTCTCCTTCCTCCCCCAGCATGTCATCCTCCTCCTCATCCATGTTATAGCCGGGGGGGATAGGGGCATCCGGGATGTTACCGGGCACAACCGTGTTGCCCCCATCCTTCTTGTACCAATTGCGCACAACGTTGAAATTGTGCGCAATGTAGACGAGGTCCGCACACTTGGCGGACCCGAGCCGGTTGCGGCGGGCGGTGTGGACGCCTTCCCACTGCGCCCAGCCACGCTCGCATGGGGAAGCCGAGACGGGCTGAGTGAGCACCCGGCATGCGAGGGCGGCAAGCTCAGGATACTCGGTGCTGTGCCACGACCACCACTGCACCATGGTCATCTCCCCCTTCTTCATTGCCTCCCTTGCAGAAATGGCGCCCGGCTTGCCAAAGCTGCCCTCCATGTTGATGTAGGCCAGCAATGCCTCCTGCAGCACAAGGGAGGCGCGGCGAGGGGCGCCATCCTTGCCACGCTTGAAGGTCTTGTTGTCATAGTGGCGCTCGATGTAGTCCTTGAACACCCGCGTGCACTCCACATCGTTCCTGAAAATTCCCTCCTCCTGGTTGGCCGGATTCAGGATCCGGCCAACCACATGCATGGGGCAGGCAAGGGAGTTGTCCCACCTGTCCTTCACAATCTTGGTGATGTCTGCCCTCTCTGTCCGAGTCAAGAAGTCACTTGAAGCGTCGAGCTTGTCATTGATGTCCTCGGTAAGCTGTAGCATGATGTCATACAGCTTACCCATCATGCCTTTCGCGGAAGAGTCCGTGGCCCGCATGGCCTTGAATGGCACCGCCATGAGAGAGGTAAAGAACTCCGCCACCCCCCACCACTCCTCATCCATCACAGCAGCCCTGAATTTCTCAGCTGCTGTCTTCCTATCCTTGTCCGCCGCTGCCCACACCTTCCACTCGTCGCTGAGCACCATCGCCGCCAGCCCACTCCTCACCTCACATAGCCGGGCCATGGCTATGTATTGTGTCCCGAACCTGGTTCCCGCAGGCTTGAGCACCTGCTTCCCCCCCACTTTCTTCATATAGGCACGGGTAAAGTGGTGGTTGCGCACGAAGGTAATCATCTCCCCTCCTTTCTCCACAAGCCCCTTCGCCCATCCCATTTTGCCCATATCTTCCATCATCAGGTCCAGGACATGCGTGGCACATGGCACATGCTCAATGTGCGGCCATGTGCTCGCAATCTTTTTGGCGGCCGATGCATAGTTGCTGCCGCCATCGGTGCAGACCGCCACCACATTCTCCGGCCCCACCTTATCAATGACGGGGCGGAGAAGGCTGGCGATGTACCCCCCGGTCTTCGACTCCATGTTGCAGTCCACCGCCTGCTCGAAAACTGCGCCGGAGTCGTTGACAAGGAGCACGTTGGCCTGCGGGCGGCCACAACGGTCGGTCATCATGTCCGACGACACCGTTACCCCGTCCCGCTTCCAGCTCGCGGCAACGGGGGCGAGCGCGACCTCCATTTTCTGCCGCACCTTCTTCAAGCCTGCCCCTCCAATGTAGCGCCTCTTAGGAGGGACGTACCCAGGTCCAGCGCGCGCAATGCACTGGACCGCGTAGCAGAAGACCGGATCGTCCGCAATGCGCTCCGGAAGTTTCAGCGCCGCGAACAGAAGGCAAAGCGCGTTATCCGCGTCCTCCTTGGCGCACGTCGCCTCATTGCCAAAGAAATCCGTAATTTTGCTCTTTTTCTCCGGGTTTCCACTGACAGCGTCAAGCGCGGAGTGAATTGCAGCAGCGGCCGCCCCTCGCTTCAAGTCCTGATGTTCCGCCTTGGTCTCGTACATGCCACGGACTTCATCGCGGACTGCCGTGGGCGCGTCCTTGCATAACGCCACAGCGCGCTTCTCCTGCCCTTTCCATGTCACGAGATGGATTGCACAGCGGTTTGTTCCGCCCTCGAACTTCTTGCCACAGAACTTGCACAGCTTGGGGTTGCCTTTGGTGTGAAACGGAATGAGGAAATGTTTCAGAATGGGGTGAGATAGTCCAGCCTCAACAGGATCCGTGTTGACGGTAGTAGAGCCATGGACAGAGGCTGGATTGTTGTTCGTCGAAGTACTAGGAGCCGAGCCCGACGCCATGGCGCACTACGTAAGTCTAACTAACGAAGAAGAGTGGAGAAATGCGGGAAGGAAATGGAAGAGCATTTGCGCAACGTCGACCTATACGTGCAAACGATGGAAGAACATTTGAAGGGGGTGGTTGGGATTGAGAGGTTGGGTGGGGTGATGTGTGGTTGAGGGGGTGGGAAAGTTTGGATTTTGAAATTCGAAGTTCAGAAGTGGGGTTGGGCACATGAGCGAAGTCGCGGTAACACTTCGCGACTTCGCACATCGTCGCGAAGTTTCTCAATTTCGGAATTTTTTTTTTCGCCGGGCTGCCCGGCCGTATTTTCGCGAATTCAGAGTGTATCAGCGTATCACGCATATACGCTAGCGAATATACGTGATACGCCAGCCTTTCAAGAGCGTATCTGCCAACGTAGTTCCATATCATGTATGCGTATGCGCATGCACATACCACAACATAAATATACATGTAACATAAATGACAGTGCATCAAGCTACCCAAACCGTGCCATGACTCGTCACACACCTGATTGCAGCCTGGACAAAGATGGCAACTCCACTGGAGCCTTAAGATGGCAACCGCCATGCTGGTTGCCATGAAGCATCTCCAAAAAGTATCTCGCAGTCTCACTTCACATTTGCAAGCATAACCGCCTGCTGCATTCCCTAACACCCTACTTACATTCGTCAACCCACGTACACAATCATGTCCCCATCCTGTTCTCCTTGTCGCCCCGTTCTTCTCATACGTCAGGGATTAGGGCATATCCAGGCTATGCCGCAGCTGCCGTGGGGTAGCGTGCAAGTCAAGTCACTGGCCACCAGCCTTTCCTTCAGTAGTTGACAAAGTTAACCTGTCGAATGTTTGTGACGGAAATAAGGGTTATATTGTTTGTTTCCAGCATGGTGATGATTATGAGGTGCTGTAATGGTCTGCTGGCCTCCGGGCATGGCAGCATATCTCCGGAGTTATGTTTTCAACACAGCATGTCAGTATGCTTCCGGTGATGCTACCAAGCAGCGACTTGACCAGGTAGCCTGAATAGTATTGCTATTTGTTTCCAAGAAAAAACACACCTAATGACAAATCTAGCAATAAACGGTGGTACAAGAGAAGATAGATCGGAGAGCACACTACAACTCTCGAATCTGATTAGTCCCTGCAATTCCTCCCATCTACCCTGACACCAGCTTCACTGATAAGGGCCCAGCTTTGAATACACCTTCCTTAGACAGCATCAGCTGGCACTGACACATTGCAAGAAGCCCACAAGGTACTCCAACACCTCCAACCGAGTCAAGTCCTGTGAGGGAGTCTCCAGCTGCGGGCAACCAGTCTTACTGTCACGACTGTTGAACTAGCTGGACCAGATTCACGGGATGGTAGGGAATGGAAGTGTCATGGAGTTTCAGTTAGTGCAGCTGGGTGAGAAACTCTGGGAGATGCTTCAAGGCGTCGCAGCAAATCAGCTCCAGTTTGCGCAGCCGAGGCAAGCGGCTCATGCGTTCAGGTAGAGACACCAGACGAGGTGCGTAAAGCTTAAGTGTTGTCAGCGAGGTGAGCTCCAGTATGCTGCCTGGCAGCTCCGACGGTGACCAAGAAAGAAGCTCCAGCTGCCGTAGCTCCGGCAACGCTGCCCCCATGTTTCCTGGGAGGCTGCGAATTCCTGGCGCCTGTATCAGCAAGCTGCGCAGGCGAGGGAGAAACATCAAAGGGACCGGGAGCTCCTGACCATCATCTCCCAAGCGCATTTCCAGCTGCTCCAGCTGCTGCAGACACGACAACCTGCCGCCCACTGCAGTCCCACATCGCACCCCATCGCGGTTCAGCTTCAGCACCCTCAGCTGTGACAGCCCAGAGATGTCCACCACATGGTAAGCACCTGCTCTAAAGTGCCCCAAGCAGAGAGTGTCAAGAGAAAGGGGCAAAACACGGGGGGGTCCACTCAGCAGTGGACATGCCTTTAGCTTCAGTGTTTTGAGCCCCACGAACGCATCTAGACTTGCAGGTACTTCCGAAAGTGATAAACAGCGTTTGACCTCCAAGGTCTGAAGTCTTGTAAGCCGCGTTAGCGAATCAGGTAGCGTGATGACTGAACAATCAACAGTCTTCAGCTCCCGTAGCCTGCTCAACTCTCCCAGGGCTCTCGGAAGCCCGAATTTAAAGCATTCATTCAGCTCAAGGCTGGTGAGGGAAGAAAGCTGAGTGAAGGAAGCCGGAAGGGGCTGGTTCCAGCAGTCATGCAACCTGAGAACCTCCAAACTTGCAAGCGCCCCAACGTCCTCTGGCAAGGCAATACTTTTCGAGCATGAAAAGCAGAGTGCCTTGAGAGTGGTGAGGCGGCAGAATCCTGCTGGCAGCTGCAAAATTCTGTTGCTATCAATTAGAACGAGTGCCTCCAGAGACGTGAGACAACAAAAGGAAGAGGGGAATTCGATAAAATCCAAGTTTTCCAGCACCAACTGTTTGAGGGAAGGCAGGTGACCGAAGTTGCTGGGTAACATAAAAGTGCAACAACACCTCGAGATGATAAGGTTCTCCAAACGGCTTAGAGAAGTGAATCCTTCAGGCAGGTGAGTGAAATGAGAGCAGTTCCGAATGGTCAGGCTGCGAAGGCACGGCAGCAAGTCTCCAATACTGTTGGGAAGACTCTTACGCCCACGGCAGTCGGTGATCAGAAGCCTTTCTAGCTGGGTGAACGGCGATGCTGCTAGCAGGATGGCGTCCATATGGGGTGAGGAGATTAGGAGTTTGAGCGATTTTAGGGAAGACGGCAGCGCCACTCTTGCAGAACCGTAATAGTTTTGGTAAAAGTGAGGAGCGAAGGTGGAAAGATGGGCGAGTCGTGGGAGGTGAAGGAGGCTGGACAGATGCAGATGGTTCCTTGGGAAGTTGATACAGAGGGTGGTAAGAGAAGTCAGGTTTGTGAAACCGGGATTTTCCAACACCGAATCGCTACTTAAAACAAGGGTATGTAGAAGTCTCAGCTGGAACAAGGAATTTGGTAACTCTGTCAATCGATGGAGGAAGAAGAGAGAAAGCTGCTCCAAACCAGGAAGCTTCCAGAAGAAGCAATCCAAGCCATCCCTGGTTATTAGATGCCCCTCCGTCCTGCCATGATGCTTCACTGGGTGGACAACGCTGTGATAAAATGGCCGTGCAAAGCTCGTTCCTTGTTGTGCATAGGTCCTTCCCACGTGGAGGGTCGTCAATTTCGGGCATGACGACGCGAGGTGAGCAAGAAAGGAGTTGTCGAGAGATTCTACGCTGTTGCCACTGAGATGAAGATGGGTGAGGTTGGGGAAGCACGAAACGGCGGCTGAGAGATCTTCGCGGGACACCACGAGGCCTTCTTTAACGGAGAGCGTGGTCACTCTAGACTTGGCCAGACCGCGCCAACGACGGAAGACGGCCGCGATGAGGAGATTATGGGCCGCGTCTGCGGCTGGAGGAGGGGCGGGTACCGGCGTGACTATTGGCTCAGTGGTGAAGCTGTCCAAGGGGGACTCGTGTGACGCCGGTTGTTCCAAAGAGCGCGAAAAGATCTTAACGAGGAGATCGTCAGTTAAATCGTGGATCGTCCGTGACTCCATGTCAGAAGATAGTAGGGACGCCGAAGACATGCTAAGATAAAGAACGCATTGGAGGACCTGGTCTTAAGAACGTCGGGAGTTGGAATAGTGATCACAAGACAGTAAGCAAGGAGTGGCTTACCTCGGCGCTGTTCCTAGTGAGCATCAAACGGAAATGAGTCAGGTGGGGAAGCGGTACGTGCGGTGGATAAGAAAGCTGAACACATTACAGGCTGTGCGTCGCGTGAGTGATGCAGAACGACGTACTGCCGCTACGTAACGTACTCTCATCGAATGCCAAACCATGCAAAGTCTCCGCCACGACACGGAGGTACCACCAAGATGGGATAGAAGCAATTAGGGTTTCAGAGCTAACGGAAACTCACACAAGAATGGACTTCACAGATTTGGAGAACCCGAGGGTTGTTCGAGCCTCGCATCCTTCGTACATGATTCAAGTGGGGGTCGCCAAACTCTCGCTGAAAATTCGGTTTCGGGTAACCAGTTGCAAAAAAAAGTGTCCCGGTGACGAAGTTTGTTTCTGTAACCCTCCACTAGAAGGTCGTCGTTGCTCGCTCAAGGAAGGGAGGATGGTCGCAGAAAATATGAGATCGGAGTTCAATTCCGAGCACACTTGGTTTCGTGATGAGGCACATCCAGCCATTAGTCATGAACGGTCTAGTTGAGCTCCTAGCTCAGCAGAAAGTCGTCGCTGCGACATAACCAGAACCGTTTCAGTAACTCTCGCAAGCGACGGCGTAAAACATAAGCCAGAGTAAAACGGCGACATTGTCTTTTTTCATTGTTAAAGAGGATCCGTCAACTATGGGCTTCTGTACTACCGCATCAGCCGCTTCGCCCTTACTAGTAGCGGCACTGAAGCCTCTGGGGCGAATACCGTCTGGCAACGTGAACCGATGGCGATTACCTCGAGGAGATTATTCGCGCGGCGCAGCGATGCAATAGGCCGCGCACAGCTTCTCGCATGCAGCAGCAGTCTCGGAGTCGCGCCGAAACCCGACCTAGATTCGGAATCGCGAATTCCGGTTTGTTCTTACGCGCCGTAGTCACCCTCTTCCCGTTTGTCGCCCTCCACGGCGGCGGTTCCTTGAGTCGGCGCGCTGCTGCTGCCGGTCACAATGCACCTTGCTGCTGTTGGGAGATCCCAGTGAATGGGGATCCCAGTTTCACCCGTGGATTTCGCTCACCAACCGAACGCCTTCGGTCGCAAGCATTATCGTCACAGACGCTGTTGCCTGTTCGGGCGAATCGCCTTCGCGTCGGTTGGATGATGAAGTGCTGCCGATCGCCTGCATGCACGACTGTTCACAGGCTGTCCAAGCGCTGTGATACGCTGTTTCGCGCTTCTCTTTGAAGAGTTTATCCTTTAAGGCGTTTCTCTATCAAGGTGTCGGCGATGCGGTGCAGGCATATGCTTTGGTAATCCAGGGACGGTGATTGGGGGGTTGCAAGGACGCGATTATGCTCATTCTGATGCTACGCTGGTTCGTCGTGTTAGCACGCCGGTTCGTAGCCGGTGCGTGATGGGCTTTGTGGGACATGATTGCATGACGCATGAACTAGAAGGTTGCAAGATGATGACGTTGGACGGATCAGACCGAATCAGGAAGATACAGTTATCGCATGGTGCCACGTGGCACAGCTGTTGCCGAGTCGTAATGCCATCATCGTGACACCAATTACTTTGCCTCGCATTCCATGCCGCACATTGTTTTTTCTTTCAGCAAGTACTGACGCATCTAGTAGCTAATGCCCTCATCTGTCCCCACTATGTCCCTACCTTGTCTCTCTCATCCTCGCCTTTTCCCCCTCCGCCCACCCCCTTCTCCCCTCTCCCAGTCTCCCACCCCTTTCCCTTCAACCCCCTTCCCCCCTCATCCTGCCCTCATTTGAATATCCGCTTCTCTGATCGCATCTCCCCACGACTCCAGCCAGAGATGGAGGCCAACAGCGCGCATGGGGAGGTGGGTTGCAGGCAGGACGCGAGGTTCAAATGGCTGCTCACAACACAAGTGCCACTTGAGCAATCACACGTCTGCTGCCCTTGTGGCTTCTGATGGATTTGCAATGCGAATGGGGTGAGCGCAACTGTGTATGTGGTACTGTGGAAAAGATTGTTATTGCCAAGATGAGAGCGATGAGGGGTGGGTATGTGTGTGAGAGAGTCAGTGAGGGGACTCTGTGGGGTAGAGGTGTGTGAGAGAGTCAGTGAGGGGACTCTGTGGGGTAGAGGTGTGTGAGAGAGTCAGTGAGGGGACTCTGTGGGGTAGAGGTGTGTGAGAGTCACTCGTAGGAGCAGTGAAGAGGGTGGTGATGGGGATTGAAGGGGCGGTGAAGGGGCGGCTGGTGATGGGGCTAGCGCAGGAGGCAGATGAGAGTCGGTTGGGGGCGGGGGAGATGCGTGTAGGAATTACTGGAGTCACTCAGTAGGCGACGGTGGGAAGGGGGCAGTTGAATAGATGGCTGGATGTCGCCCAGGTGGGAGTTTCTGTGGGCGAGAGTGGCTACGGGGTGGTTGTGAGAGGGAGTGGAGGGAGCTGATGGGCAGGCCAGGTGAGTTGAGACGGTGGTTGCGTTGCAGCCAAGGTGAGACTCATCCCCCCCTGCAGTTGCCTCCCCTTTCTTTTCCAAGTTGTGATTCCTTTTTCCCATCCAGCCCCCATTTGCATCCTCCCCCCATCCCATCCATCCAGCGACGCATGTGTGAATCCCACATCAACGCCTTGTGACTGCCTGATATCTACAGCCATCGCAGAAGCACTTTGCTCACCAAGTCACTACCCGTTCTCCTTCCCTTACCCATTTCCTTGACCTCTTACCCCTTTTCTTCCTTTTCCTTTCCCAGCTCTGCACGTGCTTCTCCATCATCAACTTACAGACTCACAACCCCACGGCACTATCTCCCACATCCCTCCACCCTGCGTCGTTCTCATCAAGGCAAGGCTGCTCTCCTTTCCCCCTCTCCCCCTTGAGAGTATACGGACTTCTGTTTTGGCCAACAGTTCGCGCCCGTACGTCACTACCTCGGTCTCCCACGTCCCTCTCATGCGCCTCTGCTGATTTCCGTCCTTTCCGCTCCCCTCCCCTCCCCCCCCAAGCTCCACAAATGCTTCTCTTACACTACACCTGCTTCTGACCCACGGGCTCGGCCCTTCACAGTACTACGCACTGTTCACCAAGGCACCACCCCCATCCCTCCCAGCTCTGAACCTGCGTTTCCTACGCTAACGTCTGCCCTACAAATTTCTGCGTGCTGCTGTGGTGGCGCCGCACTTCTGACCCACGCACTGTCCCCTCCCCTTCCCATGCCCTCTCCTCGCCCCACTGTTCGCCTGCCAACCCCCCCAGCTCTGCACATGTTGCTCCTAATCTGACGTCTGCTCCAGCGAGTCAACACACCTTACTGCTGATGTTCACTGGTACTGTTCATTGCTGGCTGGGTGAAGAAGGTGCGTCGGTGGTGCACGGGGCTAATCGTGGGTCACCAGTGGGTCACTACTGGGTCGGTGGCAGGTCACTCTCAGGTCACTCTCAGATCAGTATTGTCCCCCCATCCCATTCCCCTTACACTTTCCCATCCCCGTCCCTTTCTCCACTCCCATCCACTTCTCCATTCCCTCCCCCATCCCCTTCTCCACCAACGTCCCCCTCCTTGTCCCCATCCTCATCCTCATTGCCATCCCCCACTTCCGCAGGTATGCATAGTGTAGCATTACCTCGATCGCATCATCCCATCACACTATTACCCCATGATCCCATCACCCCATTATCCCATCACCCCATTATCCCATCACCCCATTATCCCATCTAGGGATGAGCAGAGGGCGAACTCGAACATGTTCGAGTTCGCCCCCTATCGAACATCGACTTCTACCGAACCGAACAGTGTTCGGTTCGGCGAACTATTTGGGCGAAAACAGGTGTTCGCCGTTCGCCCTAGGGGGCGAACGAATTGTTGCAGCAGGCGAACTCGAACATGTTCGAGTCGAACATGTTCGAGTTCGCCAAAGGGAAAATTCGATATAGTCACAGTGGTCATATTGTGAAACGCCGTCTCTACAACTTGACACCTTGACCGCTTGGTGCTTGATCCCTATGCTTCTGAACACTAATGTTCACACAAACACCCTACACTACGAACTACCCTAACCCTAATGTCCGTGTAGATGAACGATGTAAGGTGTGCGATGGCTATTAAAACCGCAAGGCTAGGGCGGTTGTGTGAGAGAGGGCTAAGCGCTAAAGGCGTTTTGAGTTTGAGCTCACGAAATGAGCTCAAACTCAAAACGGCCGCGACCTAAAATTGGTCGCGGCCAATTTTGACGCGAACACTTTTGTGTTCGCGGGGCACCCAATTCGAACACGAATGCGTTCGTGTTCGAATTCCCTTAGCCGAAAATCAATGGCGAACGGCGAACATGTTCGGCCGAACACCGAACATGTTCGCCTCGAACGATTTAGGCAAAAAAAAATGCCTGTTCGGTTCGCCTCGAACATGTTCGAGGCGAACCGAACAGGCGTTCGGGATTTTGCTCATCCCTAATCCCATCACCCCATTATCCCATCACCCCATTATCCCATCACCCCATTATCCCATCACCCCATTATCCCATTACCCCACTATCCCATCACCCCATTATCCCATCACCCCATTTTGTGTCGACTACATCCCGTTGACCTATTCCCCCAAATTATTCACTCCAGCTCGCTGCAGCACGTATAAAAAGCGCTAGAACGCTTCTCCTAGTAGTTTGCTTCGCTCTCACTCCAGCTCGCTGCAGCACGTATAAAAAGCGCTAGAACGCTTCTCCTAGTAGTTTGCTTCGCTCTCACTCCAGCTCGCTGCAGCACGTATAAAAAGCGCTAGAACGCTTCTCCTAGTAGTTTGCTTCGCTCTCACTCCAGCTCGCTGCAGCACGTATAAAAAGCGCTAGAACGCTTCTCCTAGTAGTTTGCTTCGCTCTCACTCCAGCTCGCTGCAGCACGTATAAAAAGCGCTAGAACGCTTCTCCTAGTAGTTTGCTTCGCTC